AGGTGGAACAGGGGGACAGGGGCATATCCGGGTCGTGGCAGGAGTGCAATGTTGATTGGAGGGTGCGGTGCGGGTCAGGGGAAAGAAACTGCCGGTGGAGAGGGGGAGAGGGTGGTAGGGGGAAGGGGCGTGCGCTGAGCGACCTCCGGCGCCGTGCCAGGGCTCCGGGGCCCCGTGCTTCCGGCTTCTTGCTTCTGATCGCTCGTCTCCCACGCTGTTCCGCCCGATTCAATTTTGCATCGGAGAGTCTATTACCAGAGTCTATTACACATGCATCACTTGAACACGCTCTGCAAGAGGATCGGTCGCCGCTTATGTGAAGGGATGAGATTTTGTTAGCCCAAAGAACGGAGGTGATTTTATTACAGTGTAGAGAATCAAGTGCGGATAATAGACTGTAATATGGAGTCATTTACGCCGAAATGGACAACAAATATTATTATGAATGGTTCTGCTATGTAAATAAACACCCAGTTTAACTTAATTGTGACGAGTGCCTTACTCAATTACTGAGGGTAGATGAAGGTGGAGGTGGAGACGTTTACTTAATGGTTTCCCTTTCCGATGAAAGGTCATTACGTGACCGGTGTTCTGCCATAAGTGTTGGTGTGATAAGGTAACCACGTCAGAAGGACATGGTGAATTTACTTGAGACTTACGTGTCACAATAAACCACAGTCCTCGGCCCCTTTCTTTTGAACAATATTCAAGACCCCTACGCCACATGGAGGAAAAATGTTTAGCAGAAGAAGTACGTCAAGTTTCCAATGGCGATAATTCACTGTGTCATGACGGAAGAACGAAATCAATTTATATTTTCACGTTTCGTGAAAATAAGAAATTTCAATCTCGAGAGAGAAAAAATTCTTTGCAAATCTTTATGAACATTGCCTCAGTCTGAATAATAACATTTATATAAAATTATTGTAACTGGGATTGACAGTTTTGGTTGGTTGAATGACAACATTTTCGAAGAGATGTGTAACTGTCTCATTAGCACACTTTCATTATATGTGGTTCTATAATTAAAAGTTACATGAAAACTCAAACTTTCAAAATCATCATTAAAAGTTTCATCAAAATTTAACTTAACGATCTACTTTAATTAGGTGACCACGTGTTGGGTACTCGATTATAATCGAGATATGACGTTTTTGTAAAACAACATGAGCTCGCTCGGACTTTCCAGTCCAATCTATAGCTTAGTTATCTTCGCAAATAGTTTTTATTACACGTGAGTGAATATTTTCTCATCATTTCTTTCCAAAAACGCTCATTACCATCTGTATTCAAAATTCAACTTCTATATGGGTTAGAGTAGGGATCCCAGAATTAATGAAAACCTGCAGAAAATATTCTTCACCACATATTACGTCTCACTCATTTTAAACTGTTTTTGGCGTTAAAGTTAAGTAGCTATATTTACGTTTTCGTTGGAATTCCACATATTTTTTGTCACTGGACACGCAGTTCACGGTTTATTCTGGTATGCGACTCAATGTAAACCTTCAACTTCCCAATTATGCGGATCGAGTCTCCGTAAATTCATCTTCATTTGCAAGAATAATACCTGTAGCTGGGTAAAGCGCTCTGTTTTTGTGATATTCATAATAGCTTTTTACAACTTCCACGCCCCCCAGAAAAGGGTTATAGCGGAATGAGAAGCACAAAAAAACCCCAAACGAATGGAACCACTTTTGCGAGGAGTTTGTTCGTGAAGGAGAACAATTTTCTTTTTAAAATGTTTTGACGAATATGTTTGCACGAAATGAAAACGACACTAGTAATTGAAAATGTTAGTATCTTTTTACTTATCATGGAAATGCTTTTCATCTTTACTTTTTATGAATTAACTTCTAAAATATGGGAACGCAATCAAAACTGCAGTTTTGAAAATATATTTTCCTTCTGAAAACATGCCAAAAAATGTATTATTTTAGATGATAAAATATTACGTATAATTCTTCAACATATCGCCACTGAGACATTCTGAGGCAAAAAATTGAAATTTCATTTGAAATAAGTTGTTTAAAAATCGAAATTTCCCGTCACAAAGTAACTTGAAATTTCTTTTCTATTACTGTGGATTTATTACTGTAATTTTCATCCATTTCAGATTTTCAAACGTTTTGCAGGAAGTTGCTTTTTTGACACTGGGAGAAGAAGAGATGGGTGCTGAAAATGTGGCACTTCTAATATTTCTGAGACCGTAACATATTCCACTCTGACTTAGTTCAATTCGTTTCGAAGGGGACACATTTTGCCAGCTTCTTGTTCTGTTCCGAATTTGACCTTGAAGTACCACGTCCCTCGGGTTCGCAAGGCAGAACACTTTGGCCTGCGGCTGGCTCTGCAACCCCCGTCCCTCTAGCCCCCTCGCTCAACACCCCCCAGCCTCTCACGCCGATATCCAGCCTCTGTAAATGGGCATTTGAGGCTTCTACTAATCGATTTCGTTCTGGGATTTCCCAAGGGACCGCTGTTTCGAAAAGAAAGAGCCGCTTTGCAGCTGGCCTCCTGTTTCGGCACGAAAAAAGAAAATTCCTTCGCCACGGAGCATAGAAGACCAACCGCACTACCACGCCCTATATTACGAGTTTCTGATTAAAACTCCTAGAGTTTTATGTTCCAAAAATGTAGTAATTTTTTAATCAATGCGTTTGGTTTTATACGTTTGAAAATTTGTTTATTAAAAATGTATGAGTCTTGATGCCAAACTTAATTCTTTGAACTGCTATGAACATGACACGTGAATACTTTGATTTTCATGAGTAACCCATTTTCTGTGATTAACTAAAATAAGCTTGAATGGCGAAAAAGTCCTCTTCTCATTACACGATCCAGTATTGCGAATATCATATTTGCGATTTAATTGGAATTCTAAGTATTCAGGTTCAGAGGGCTCTACCTAAAATGAGCGACAAGAACTTAGTATGTTCCACTGGATTTGAGTTGATATTCCGACATTTATAGAAGCGACTCTTAGATTAATTTTCTTTAGCCGTTTGTCATACAGATCTTTCAATGCTGTTTAAAAACATTAAAACTCTTTTTTATCCTACAGAATTTGTTAATTGTAGGTATAAAACATTTAAAAGTCACATTTTGCGCGAATGAATGTAAAATAATGTTACAGTTAAAACCAAGAATGTTCGTCTGACTACTTAGCAACTAGGCTGATTGACAGGTTTACAAACAATTTCTACCTAGTGTGTTAATGGGCGTGAACCGAAACCCCACCCCTTAGTGCCAATGGTTGTTCTGGAACTCACCGGTGTGCGTGATGTTGAGCAGGAGCACGGCCGAGGGCAGCGACGAGCCGTGCGCGTTGTGCGACACCACGAAGAACGTGTAGAGCGAGCCGGCCTCCAGTCCTTGCAGCTCGGCGGTCGTCGCCGTCACGTTCAGGCGCTTCGCAGGCGTGACCAAGCACCGTTATTACCATTGTGCAGTTGCAAATTACACATAATATCACATGCTCGCTTATAGTTATCATTATTATTATTATTATTATTATTATTATTATAATCATCGTCATCGTTACTGTGACGTGAGGGGTAAAAGACCACATGTGGTAGTTTCTCAACCAAGTGACTCGGGTTGGCTATAAGAGCTTTTTTTTTGACCCCGAGATGTATACGAAAGCAATGAGTAGGTGGCACAAAAAGTTTTGGTAATGAATGCTGATGGAGATCTAGTGGAATATTCAAGGGGATACATAAGAACCCGAAGAAAAAAAAACTGTTGCTAAGTTTTCCCCCCACAAATCCCATAGGGCGACTTGACTTTGAACCCAAGATTTCAAAGATCACAACGAGGAGGGACGAGTTGGCTCGTATGTCCATGATACTACTCAATAAATGCCGTAACTAAATTTTGCGGTAATCTTTCACATCTCGTTCTGCGGAATCTGCTTTGAAATTTGCAAAATATTTTCGTAAAAAGCCCTTTAAAACGGCTCCGTCTATTTCTTTAAAATCAAACGTTCACTTCTCGTGCTTGCCCCAAAAGAAAGTTATATCCGTGACACTGGTATGTGCGCCCGCCTCCGCCCGTACTTACGTTCTGCAGACGAGACAGCGTCTCGTGCATGGACGTGTTGTCGGCCTTCTGGTAGTGCACCTCGTAGTAGGTGACGTTGCTGGCGTCGCGTGGGGGCTCCCACTGTAACGTCGTGCCTTCGTCGTCCACGCGCGTCGCGTGCAGCTCCTCCACGGGCCCCGGCAGCAGCCCCGCCCCTGCGCACGCGCCCAGCGGATGACGCATTATGAACCTGCAGCTGTAGCTCTCAGACGCCCGAGCAGATTTGGACCTTGAGCCAACAGCTGTTGGACTCGGATATAAGCTGTTGGACGCTGAACAAACAGCTGCTGATTTCATACTCGAGAGGATCTTTGGGTCTTCAACCGACAGCTGTTGGACTCAGACATACGATAAGCTATTGGACGCTGAACATACAGCTGTAGGTCTCGGACACGCAAGTTTCTGATCAACTGATGCTGATGAAGATGCTGGCGAGGAAATAAGGAAGAGAAACCCGGTGAATGGAAAATATATGAGAGTCAACATAATGAAGTTAGAACTGTGCCAGTAAGAGTTTAATGACGCCAGTGCAGTAACTGTTGAAGAAATGTTATAGATTTGGAATAGTATTGACCTCAGTACTGACTCATTATTGACCTTTAAGAGCTTTCTTTAGTGGACCAAAAACGCTCAAAGATGAAAGGTCAGACCTATAAGGAAAATGCCGTTGAACGATGCCTACAAAGGCAATCTGAGAAGTTCTTAACCGACGCATTTATTATCTCTTGGACCGCTGGAGTGGCGGGTCGCTGATATATACCTTTGAAGCAATTATGTATTGCCAACATGTTTTAAATACAGTCTATACAGACTTAGATTTAAGTCTATACAGACTTAGCGCCATGTTTTCATCGAATAATTTATCAAACAGACAGATTTCCAATTTCATTTGGGCGACTTATTACAATGGCAATATTACAATACGTCACTATATGTTAACGTTGAAGTATTAATTATATTGATACCCCTACCTGTTGAGCGTCAAAAAAAAAAGAAACGCAATCAATTCTCATAAATGTTTCTCTAGATGGACTTCAGCAGGCTTGTTGAGACAGATGTCAATTTGTCTCTAGATCAAACTCAATCTGTGGAATCCGGACCTAACCAAGAGCGCGAGTACCTGAGACGAAAATCAATTGGGTTAGAAGCCGACATCTTAACACGTGTCAGTACGCACAAGGTAAAAGGTCGACTGAGCGCACAATAATGTATGTGCATTTATGAAATATTCAGTGCCGCACAAGCACCTATAAGCACGTCTCTTTCGCCATTTCTTAGGGTCGTCACGTTGTGCTTAGATAGTACCTACACCAAGGGGTGCGCCATTTTTTGTTGCTGGTGGGAATATGCTTACGAATTTTGCAAGGACAGAAAAACACAGATGACTTTTATCGAGGCGCAGAAGACTTAAAGGCAATTTGGAACCACCTATGTTGTTGCTCTATTTCTGCGGCCCCTCACATACAATGCTACCCTGCTACCCAAAGTTCAACCCGTGAGTAGTGTATTGCAGCCAGACCCATCCCTAGCCTTTAGAGGCAACCATGAGTTCCAATAGCAACACTGAGTGGTAAACTAAGAATGTTCTAATGAACACGTGACGCTTTGTATCGTCTCAAAGCAACGATGGCGTAGCCAACCAGAGGCGCAACTGGTAATTGCTCAGCAAATAAGTTCTTATCTGGGGGATTCTATTCCCGACTGCATCACGCTTTTCATGCCATTTTTAGAAACAAACGTGTTGAAAATTATGCAAATAAAACCTTTTTCTGCAGACAATGGAATCATATTTTTGTTTTCGAACGCGGGAGCCTCGTCACCGACTTGCGTTGCAAAGCGACAACCGCCCTCTCAAAAATCGATTGTACACAGTGTTCGATAATAAATGTTACAATTTTCTAGGGCATAGAGGAAGGTCGACCACGTGTTTACAGGTACACAATTATCGTCTTTGATCCCCCAACAAGCCATAGAAGTTTGTAACATTTATTCCGTTCCATTTCGCTTCCGCTTGCTCGCAGTCGGCCGGTTGGCCGCACGCACCTTCCTCGAAGCACTGCACGATGTTGCCGACGTAGGGCGCGCAGGCGGCGACGGCGGCGGCGACGGGCCCGGCGAGCACGCCGGCGCAGACGGGCGCGCACGTGGGCGGCACGCCGCGGCGCGCGCAGCACGGCGCGTGGTCGCGGCCGCCGGCGCCGCAGCGCAGCAGCTTGTGCAGCTCGCCCGCGCACACGCCGGCCAGGGCCTTCACGTCGGCCATGGACGCGTCGTACGAGCACAGCGGCATGCACACGCCGCTCAGCGCGGCCTCCACGCAGCACGCCGTCACGTTGTGGAACAGCGACGCCGCCTCCTCGCGCTCCTCCACCTGCGCACGACACCCGGCATGCTGCGCTTACGCTTGAGATAAATGAATGAATAAATCTAGGCGCTCCTCCACCTGCGCACGACATCCGGCATGCTGCGCTTGCGCTTTTTCCGTTGCTTGAGATACATGAATGAATAAATCTAGGCGCAATAAATACTTTTTATTGCTCGTGAAGAGGCCGATGTGGGCCACGTGTTCATGCACCATGCATTTACTGCTCAGAAACATTATCTCGGTTGCAGATGCATGCAGGGGAACAGCTGAATCCGATTTTTATCCGCCAGAGTTGTTACCCCTGGGTGTATGGAAGATGAAATGATGACGGTAGTGAGGGTTGAAAGGACGACACACAATCGTAAAGAAGTGTTTCCAAGCAGCACAACGTGTTTCTCCGCACTGAGATTCAAACTCACTATCTTAAGGATTAGCATTCCATTGACATTATCGCAACACCACCAGCCTCACAGCTAAACTCGACAATCTCGACGATTAAAAAAATTAGAGCAGGGAGTAAAAAGATGACATATGCATTTGCAAATTGTTAATTTTTAGTTTGTAATAGTCGAATATGGATCCAGCACTTCTTTAAGCGTTATTTTCTTTATCCAAGGAAAAGTTAAGAAAAATAACGTTTTTCCGAAAATAGCTGTTTGTAACACACTCATATTTCACCCAAAATTCATATGTGGAAGACTATTATCTCATAAGGGTCTTCCACATATGGATGTGGATAAACTCCACTCGTCCATTTGCTTCGGTATAGCGCGTGTTTACCATTAAATAATCTGTGAAAAAAAGGGTTTAGAGTTATCTCACAATGCTGGGAGATGTGTTTTTGAAAAGTGAATTAGTACTAATTATTGTAATCTATTGAACTGTATATAACTGTTACTTATAAGTATTACAAAGTACAATTCGTTATTTTGTAACTGGATTTTTCATGTGTAGTCCTGATACATCTGAAGGAATACCTGAGAATTAAAAGGTAAACGAATTGAAAAAACAAACAAAGATGGCAAAATGATGCGTTAACTACAAGAGTATTACGTTACGAGCGTCGATAGTAGCAAACTAGTTATATTTCTCGGGTAGATAAAGTATCTTTAGCTACCCGAGGGTCGGGTAGGGTTTAGCTAGTAAGGAGCGTGTTGTGCCGTAGTACATACTGTGGCGTCATATCAGTCGCCTTGTACAAACGTGACAAAATATTAGCCACGTGCATTTCATGCACATGAAATGCACGAGGAAGTAGTTTGCGACAGCAGGCAGCGCTGGTGGGAAGGGGCGCCGGGCTGAACAACGGCAAACCTAGAGAGCGGAAGGGAAAGGGTGCCGTGTCCTGGGTGGCCACTTGTGAACCCCGTAGACCACTCGGGGCAAACTTGTGTACCCCGTAGACATGCTGGCCGTGGAAACGACGTCGGCGGAAACAGCGAGATGACGTAGTTCCGTGAGCCAGTCCAGAAAGTAATATACGCGGACCCCGAACCTAAACTCCTTCTTCTGATTCTTGGGCGCGTCGGTAGGAAGTCGTGTGGGTTGTGCGCGGCGCGGCATTTCTATGCATAGGCTACTGAGGCAGGGACCTGAAGCCGGCGTGCTACGTCGAGCCGGGAGGTGCGGCCTACCCGTTTGTATGCGCACGTAAGTGCATCACACCGAACAAGATATCAAATTATCCGGCCAGCGGTTGTGGTGAACAGGAACATTCCTTCTAGTAACGGGTCGATCTTGTTTATTGTAATTATTGTAAATAGTACTCAGGTGTTGGAGCATATTTCGAATAAAACTCAATAAATCACAAACCGTTCACGTCTGTGCCCCCGTTACGAATTATTGCCCCGGCAAAGACGCCACAATACATATAAGAAACAAGCCATACATACAAATAAGAAAATAAGTTAGAGTAGGTCAGCTTGAAGGAGGGTCGAGAAGGCGGTGGCGGTGGCGTACCTCGGACTCGGTGCGGAAGACGATGCGCGCGGAGGGCGCGCCGGGCCCGTGCGCGTTGACGGCCTCCACGTACACCTCGTAGTCGGCGCCCGGCCGCAGCCCCTCCAGCACGAAGGGCTGGCGTCGCGCCGCCGCCGCGCGGTACTCGTTGTCGTAGGTGGCGAGCGGCCGCCACCGCACCGCGTACTCGCGCACCGACTCGGCCAGCGCCGCCGGCGGCGCCCAGTGCACCAGGGCGAACGTCGTGTCCACCGTGGACACGTGCACGCGCCGCGGCGCCGACGCCAGCACGCCGTACCCTTGCAGCAGGCAGCTCGTGTACGACGTCATGTGCTTGAGGCAGCTGCAGTCACACACAGATTGAATTGAATGGAATGGAATTGAATGGATGTGAATTGAATTGAAGCCTTATTTTACGTGGAGAGTCTCGGGCCATTAGGCCCGCTCTTGCGTGTGACCACGCAAATTTAGCTACGCCCCTTTCACCAACTAGCAGAGAAAGGAGGTATTTCTTGGGCCAGAAACGGCGATTTGAATTCAGCTCAGAGACGTCATTTAGGTTTGAGGATCTTTTACATGCAAGAAAATCTACTAACATAGGACAGCAGGCTTTACTTCCCTCCCGCTAAGCGGATCCAACGCTGCGCGCTCCGCTCCTCACGAATTGAATTTAATTGAATTGAATGCCTTATTTTACGTGGAGTGTCACGGGCCATCAGGCCCGCTCTTGCGTCTGACCTCGCACATTTCGCTAAGTTCCTTTCACCAACTAGCAGAGGAAGGAAGTACTTCTTGGGCGAGAAACAGGCGATTTGAATTTAGCTCAGAGGAGTCATTTAGGCTTGAGGATCTTTTACATGCAAGTAAATCTACCAACATGGGACAGCCTGCTTTACTTCCCCTCCGAAGGAAGGCGTACGAAGGATTTTTTCACCCTTAAAAATCAACGGCTTCGATCGGGTTTGAACCCGCCAACTTGGGTACAACAGTCCAGTACGCTAACCGTTACGCCATCGCCGCGTGCGCGCGCGTCGTTGTAGGGATTGGCCAACTCAGTGAGGTCGGTTGATGGGGCCCCATGAATGAGCTCTAAGGGATAGAGCCTATAGATTGTGGTTTCGGTTTTTGGGGTGGCAAGATATTCGTAATTAGCGATTCGGTAGGTTACTTCTCCACAAGTTCAGATTGTCGTTATTTTTAACGAAATTTCAGAGTTATTTAAATTATTTTTATTACCATAACTGCTTCTTGTGCAACGCCAAATGATGTAGTGGTTGAAATAAATACACACTATTACATTTTTCAACGTTACACATTCTGCACACGAGATAAATCTGTTTCAAGTAAAGAAATATACGTTAAAATAATGGATTTCATTTCTACAGAAACATCCATAAGTATTTTATCGTATGAATGACAAATACAGCCCTTTGCATTTAATTGTGGGTCGGTTACGGCGTACAGTTTATTTTATGGCAGCTAGTATTTGATTTCTTAGTAATTAACGCTATTTGAAAATTAAATTTGATTTTCTTTGAATATAATATGAACGAATGCACGCGCTCGCCTGACCTACTTTGGGGGATTTATTTCACATTTTATTTTTCAGAATTCATTTGCAATGCTCTTTCAAACGTTGGTACACTAGACTTAATTATTTCAAGGAGAACGATATTTCACAGATACATGGTTTGTTTCTTCGTCTTTTTGAAAGAGAAAAAAAACGCGAATATTATACATTTCTTTTCTCTCTACATACATTGCGGGGCTGAGTATATCTCCCGTCATTATTCTTTTGTGCCATGGAATATGCAAAGCAATGCGCAGTTCAAGGGCTCTGTGGAAACGCTGCAAAGAAGAAACTTCGACGTCAACTTGTAGCAAGGTTGTCACGAAAGAATATTTTGTGAGACAGGGAAATACTTTTTTATTTCACATTTTTAATTCTGTAGCTTTGTCGTTTAAATTGTATGCCAGGAAGGTTCAAGCAGAGAACACCGTTTGCTTGTAAATCTCTTAACTGTCGAAACTGACGGGTTATTAGCTCAAAGACAAAATCATATTTGAAAATACTCAGTATTGTACGAAGGAAAACCTATAACCATTTCATAAACACACAATGATATTTATAAGCGTGAATAGTAGGTCGACATACAGTGGATCTCAGCTCATTCTATTTTTTGATTATACCGCAGGAAGGCAATTTTCAAGGACATCTTTTCGCCTCAAAAATACTTTTTATTCTAATTTTTTCTTGAAAGTTCACAAAATTATTTGATTTTTTTGCAAATTCATCATTTGTACAAATCTTGATCTTCTACAGCTAAGATAACACACATATATTGTGGTAAAGCAGCAGACTCTAGTACAGAAGGCACATCTTGTTATTTATTCTACATGAAATTAACAATCAGTAGCAAAAAATAAAATATTAATTTAGAAAGTAATCCATAAATGTGAAATGAATGTCTTCCTGCCAAAGATAGCTGTGGTAAAATTTGATTTAAAACAAAGGATAGACACAAAATTTAAAAAAACAACTAAAACCATAAACGACACAATATCAGGAGAGACATTTCTTTAAAAAAGTTTAATATCTAACTAGACATTTAAGTGCCAAGAAAAATCGAAAGTAAAAGTTCTAGAAGAAATTAGACTAAAACAGGATTTCAGAATTATCAAACAATGAATATTTATGCAGAATATTGATAGTTATTGCTTCCGTGCCAACATGTCAGTCACTATGCTGTATGAAGAGAATGACAGAAAGGATCTCAGAGACGTTTCCCTTCAAATAAATGGCTCCTATGAGTTAGCTTGTAGAAATGCACTCTACCGGCTCCAAAACAAGCAAAGAGGGAATGCGTGCCGGCAAGGTTTCTTTATGGGCCCAAACTGCGCAGAGTCCCAAAGCACGTTTAGACAAATTACAACAAACTTCCGTAATGTTCCCTGACATATGCAGCGCATACATACACCTTGCCCCTATACACGTGCTTTCCTTCGCATCTGCCTATGCCTCTTTTACCACCCCGCAGTCTGTTTCTTCTCCGGACGCCATGTCGTTCCTTACGAGTCAGGTCAGGTTAATCCTAACGGAATCTTTCACAAGGAACGTCCTTTTAGAGTTTCAAAATATTAACAATAGAGGTAGACTGGTACGAAAATTCGATGTTGGATGAAGTACTAGGTGTTAGTATTCTGCGTAAGTGAATGATATGACAATCGAGACGGTTGTCAGGTCGGGTCGAGTGTCGGGTGGCATCCGATGTCAGGTCGAGTGATGGAAGTGCGGATGTTGGGACGGGTAGGGCCGAGTGTCGGGTCGGGACGAGTGTCGGGTGAGTTCGGGTCGAGTGTCAAATCGAGTGTCGGGTCGAGTGCTGTCGGCCGAGTGTCAGGTCGGGTCAACTGTCGGTTGAAGGGTCGGGTTGAGTGTCGGATGGGCTTGGGTCGGGTCGAGTGTTAAATTAGTCGACTATCGGGTCGGGTCGGGTCGAATATCGAGTCGAGTGCCAGAACCAGAGTCGTGTCGGCGCGAGTGTCAGGTCAGTTCGATTGTCGGGTCGCTTGTCAGGTGAGGTATAAGTCCGAATGTCGGCAGGAACGGTTTCGAGGTCAGAAATGAGGAGCAACGTGAAGAACACAAGTATGTTAGCGTTGCGAACGGCGGTTAAGTGAGATGGATGTTGGTGTTGAGACACTTCGCACACCAGGTGGTATTGAGAAAGCTGTATCACGGCGGGCTAACAAGGGGAAATGTGAGTGGGGTGGGGGGTGAGGCCTCAAGCGATTCTCACGATCACGGACGCTGCCACCCCGTGCACGCGGGCGTGGGCGCGTGGGCGGCACGGGCGAGCGCGTCGCCCGGCAGGCTCACCTGAAGTAGGAGAAGTCGATCTGCGTGAGGTTGCCGGCGCACAGGTCGAGGCACGGGTGCGGGAGGCCGCGCGCGCGGCAGCAGGGCGAGTGGTCGACGCCGTTGGCCAGGCAGGCGAACGTCTCGCCGGCCCACGGCGCGCACACCATCAGGTCGGGCACTTGCACCAGCGCCGCCGCCGCCGGCTCACACAGCTTGTCCAGGCACCTGCCACCCGACCGCCCCGCGCAATCAGTGGTTATTCCCCCCCTTCCGCGACAATTACTGTGATCATTGGTCACGTAAGCGTAGAAAACTTTATATCACGGAGGATTGCGGTGCTCTTCCCCCAGGAGAAGCTTTACGCTTCCGATTGGTCACCCGATCTGTGTGGTAGTGAATGTAGTGTGTAAGTAGAGAGTAAGGATATTGTCAAAATTCCAGGTTTTTGTAAGTTTCAGAAAAGTTTGTATTATACTTAAGATATGAAAAGAAATTTCACTTGCACACTAAAAAAATTAAGCCCAACGTGTTATAGAAATATCATTGAGAGCAGTTTGTTTTTCGAACGATAATTTTTGTTATTCAATGTAATGATGATTGTGAGTTCCATAATTCTGAGAACGGTCGGCATTAATGCATGCAAAAACATAAAAAAATGTTTACAAATTTTCGGATGCAAATAACTACATTTTATAGAACAGAAGCAAAACAAAGAATCATCAAAATATTCGTTCAATCGTCGAGAACTTCAAAAAGCATCGAGTGTGCGGGTCTGAAATTTAAAAGAAAGTTTGAATTTTTGACCTCGTAAAATAAGCTTCCATAAATCTATAAGACGAAATGTTATTGTTTTCATTCTTTACCATCACCTATGAATTTGTCGACCACTTTTATCGTTTAAACTCAGATATATTTTGTTACATGACGGATGCCAAAATATTCGAGACAAAAAATCCATAAATTTCGAGAAGCCCTGAGATTATAGTTGCGGTTATAGTATATAATATGAATATATTAGTTGAGAAAGAAAAATTAACACAGAAATCCCCTTATACTTAACATTTTGCTAACCCGACAAACCAAGGAGTCAAAGTTTAAGCGACCTAATTGCCGCAGCTCGTGAGTTTGAGACCCTCCTTTGGCAAAGAATTTTAAGTTTTGGATTCATTTTACTTAGGAACTTCCCATTTCCGATGAGCAACTTTTAAACTCTTTGCGTTTGTGACGATATCACCTATTGATTATTAACAATACAATATATTATACATTTTACGACGTTCGGGATAGACTGCAGAGATAAAAACATGTTACATATAATAAAGCTCACGTTGGACATATCAGAAAAATTTCTTTATCTTCTTCATTTGTCAAATACATTACTTTTAGGGACCATTAGAAATGAATTTCAACATTTTCAAAATAAACGTACGTACGTTAAAAAATGTTCCTTAATGTTATAATTGCAAAAATCAGAACATTTTTTGACATAGGATTAGTCTAAAACTACAGCATTCGCATTTATATGTCAACATTTTTCTAAAGTGATCTAACGTTCAAAAGCATCAAATATTATCCTCGAGAGGATAAAACCTCTCAAAGTACGTCAACCCTTCACGGGTACAGGTAGTATTATTAAGTTAATATTTCGTGTGTGATTCGTAATACATTTGTTTTTAGTTTTTAATTGATATATTTTGATTTATAATAGTATCTACATTGGTTTTTATAGTCAATATATTACGTATATATATAACTCCTATATAAAATCACAAACTGAGTTATTACTATACGTTCTGTGTGTCCTCACCATCTAACGAATATTAGTGTCTAGCCCCGTGATCCAGACACAGTCTCATACGGGAATGACAAGTGACATTCCCACAAGGTGCATTAAGAGACCACAACAATACCATAGCCGATAAGTCCATACCAAATATATACCATATGACTCAGAGAGATCGAAGTTAGCCAACTAGCCAGTCAGCAAGTGTGACATAGGAGAGCTCGTACGGCAACGTCACGGTTGGCGGGTGTGCGTGCGTCGCTCATGGCCGCACTTCGGACTACGCCGAAGACGCACTAGGCGCACGTCGGGCAGCGGGCGGCGGGGCGCGCGCTGCGCGTCGCCGGCGGCGGTGGCGGCGCCGGCGGCGGAGGACCGGACAAACGGCGCCAGCGTGGTGGTGCGCACGGCAAACGACGCAGGCTCTCCCCGTGCAAGGTTCGCGCCACCACGCGCACTCGTAATGGCGTACGGGCTTGCCAGGGTCGGTTCACGATGTGCTGCGTGTACGTGCCCGGACTGCGGCGCACGGGGACACAGAGGAAAGATTGTTTCAATCCAAAGGGTGTCGTAATAAATGTAGCAAACTTCTAAGCTCGTGAAGAGGGTCAAAGTTATAATTTTTCGCCAACGAACATTGGGTGGGAAATACCGCTATAACTAAGTTACACACGTGACATTTCGAACACCGGGCCCTGATTTGGTAGGTAATCATCTGCACTGGCGTTTGCACAGGGGGACTTAACTGGCAAAGACATTATAGATGATTTGTCTTTATTGTTCAGCTTGACTGCGTTAGACTGCACACCCATACCACGCATGCATAAAATATATAGACATTACTTCTAAAAATATTTCACAGAAATGTGTAAATATTCGTACAAAATTATAAGTGCCAAAAATACGTCAAGGGTAATGTTGTTCGGAAATCAGTTTCAATAAACGCGATAATAGTACTTTGACCATCACATAGTACTGTACTCACAGTGAGGTTGTGGGTGATCTGCAACCTCGACGGCGCTTTCAGTGGCAGGGAGGAGGCGTGCCCTCGCCGTTCCATCTCGCCGTCGCCTCGCCATCCTTCCCGCCCCCTTCCTCCTCCTCCTTCCTCCTGCTCCGGGTCCGGGTCACCGGCGCCGACGCTAAGACCGCCGTTGCGCGGCCCGTCCTCCAGGCACTCGGGCTCCTTCGTCGTCCTCGTCGAAGATGCGCAGCAGCGTCACGGTTCACCACGTAGCTAGGTGATGGCGGGGCCGGCGGCGCGCGGCACCTGCCCACGACACGTTGAGCGGAGTCCTCCGCAGCGGCTCCGCCTCCACGGTCCTCGGCGGGCGAGGCGGCAGCAGCTCTGCGACGGGCAACGGCACGCTATATCACGACTGCGCCCCCCTCCGCGTCACACACCCTGGGGTGTCACGGTCCGCTCCCAAGCTCTCCCCGCCACGCCCAAGAGCTTTACGATCCAGCGGCACCCCCCCAGATCGGACCCTGTTGGCGCATTTTGAGTTTTCCCCCTTTCGCCCACGTCCCATACCTCGCCCCGCATGAACACATACCAGATATAGTCTGCACCACACCTCAAGCGTCCATTCCGCCACGACTACGAAACGCTGGCTCCCGAGATAAGCGCCTTCGAGTTCAGCCCTCGAGCATGCATTCGCCCATATCCCAGAGATTTACGCCCTGCCTCCTCGTCCTCAGGCGGGCTGGGCAGCAGCCTCAGCGACGGCAACGGCACGCTCTCACGATTGCGCCCCCCCCCCGAGCGTCACACCCCCTGGGTGAGGCAATCGTGTCATTCACGCATCACGCTCCCAGACCCTCTACTCGCGCAGTACCCGTGAGCTCCGCCCACTGGTGCCCCCCAAGTTCTCAGCCCGACCCAAGTCCCCAAGCTCTCCAACCCGAGCCCCAAGTTAGCAGCGACAGCTGGTGTTCTGCAATGACTTTACCTGCCAGCTCCATCCCGTCCGCATGCTACTCTCGTGTATTGTGCCCCGCTCTCGGTTCTCCATTCCTCCATTCTTCAGCCTCGCCTCGCCTCCCGTGTTGGTGTCATCTTTTCCTTCTCTCCCAGATCTCCTTCGTTGCCTCTCAACGTGACCCCCACCCGGTTGCCGCTCATGCGACCCCTTTGCCTGCTATCTCCTTCATGGGCTCCCCGGTGCGCAATCAACGCCATAACTTCTCGGAGCATCTTCCCACACCACAGTTCACACTACGTCCCGCCTCTGAGTCTTGCCTCGCCTCCCTCCCCTCGCCCGCATTGCTCCACGCTCTGCCCTCGAGACCCGTCGGCTTGCCACGTTTCCGCGGGCCTACTCCGCGTCCAGCCCTTCTATTTATGTAACATCAAAAAGCGGTTAAAACCCTGTGTGACGTACTATCGGAGGAAGTCAATAAGTGATCGTTTTCTAGATCTCAATCCTAAATGTCATTCGTAAATTGGATACTAAATTTAGATAACAAAGAGCGTTTTGGGCAAGAGATGATAAGAAAATATTCGCTTCTCTATAATAAAAACTATTTGAAAAGGCAAACCAGCTGCAGGTTTTGGATATTATCCCTTATTGTGACGGAATAAATTTGCTGACACAAAAACTTCTAGAATGATTATTTGACGATTCCAGTTTGCATTTGAGCCCACAAATCTTGCCTGTACAGTTCACCCTCGCACCACATTTTCTCCATCTCTGCTCCCTCGTGCTTCTATGACTGTGATTGCAGCCCAGTACCACGCCTATTTCCTGTACCCTATCACTAAGTTGTTTTTTTTACCGCAGGAGAGAACTAATTGCCTGACACTCAAGGAAATACAAAAATAATTTTATTCATACGGACTTATTAAAATATACTAAAAATTGTAAATACTTCGTGGTTTATATATTCGTTAATACTTTGTCCATAACCAATAGATCCTGGTCCAAACGAACTCACAGCAAACTGAGACAAAATATACACACATTGACATTAACTCCTTTATTTAGAGTCATGTATAAACGCGCAAAACTCATTTTCTTCGACAGCTCGCCGCCTGCGACTTTCCCTCGCACTCAGTTCACTCGAGCAACCCTTTCGCCCGGCCCTCTGGTTCGGCGTCCGCCCACGATCCCCACACCCCTGCAGCGCTCCCCGGTGGCCCATTGTCGCTTCTGTCTTCGCTCCCCGCTCCACAAGCCCCGCCCTCCACACCCCACCTCGCGTCATCCCCTGTGGCCCATCTCAACGCCCCGCCCACGCTCTGCGGAACCCGCACTGCGTCCAACAACTGGGCCCCCTCCTCCTCCCTCTGCCCTCGCTGCACTGATTTCGAGCCCATGCCCGCACCACTTTCCTGCACGCCGGTCCTCCCTCTCTTCCTGGTCCTTCCGCTAGCCACGTTCCGTCCTATATTAGAATACTTCCACTCTAACAAGGGTCAGTCGCGTATTGAACCTTCCAAGTTGTTTCCAGTTCTATGAGGCAATGTTGAAACAACAGAAACAAGTTGTGTAAACGTACTTGGGCAATCAGTTATGAGGTGCACTGATTTCGAGCCCACGCCCGCACCACTTTCCTGCACGCCGACCCCACCGCTCTTCCT